CATTAAACTAGACATCCCAAGTTCCTGCAACTGTTCTTCATATGTTTTATCCTCCAGTCCCCTAATCCTCTTGGTTGCTCTTCTCTGCACTCTTTCTGGAGTCTCCACATCTTTTCTACATCGTGGTGACCAAAACTGAACGCAGGATTCCAAGTGTGGCCTTACCAAGGCTTTATAAAGTGGTATTAACCCTTGACCTCTGTTGATGCAGCCTAGAACCGTGTCGGCTTTTTTGGCAGCTGCTGCCCACGGCTGGCTCATATAAGTCTAAGTGCTACTGCCATCTGCCTCTACCTAGGATTGAACTCACAGCCACCTGATTGTGAGGCGAGAGCCCCACCTCTAGGCCACCGCAGCACTCTCATTGCTAGCCTGATATGCCATGCGCCAAATAAATAATACTTCTTCTTTCCATCGCTGGGTTTGAAATCCCATCCGATCCACCGTGTTCTGTTAAGCCTGGCCATGCATGTGTAATAAAAGCAAACTTTGTAAACCTTTTTTAAAAATGCTTTTGAAAGCGTACCTCACCAGACCCGTAAAATTCAGCTTTTTTTTTATTACTTCAATATTTACTACTTGTTTACTGTTAAGATGTAATCTTTCTCTTTTGAAGCAGGCAAACGGGGCACCTAATCTAATCCAAACTTTAATATTCTGAGCTCATCCTTGAGATCAAATGGCTCTTCTTCTATTGGGCGAAAATTATCTCTTTTTTTCTCCACCATTCCCAAGTCTGCACGAACAGTTAAGCCCCCAAAACAGGAAACCAGGATGTAAGTTTGTTTAAGATTCCCCCCTGGTGTCTGAAATATGATTTAACGAGGCCTAAGATAGCTTTCGAAACCAGCTACGTTCCCTAAAATAAAATTTTAAAAAAAGAATAGATAGGAAATAAAAGTTGCCTGAGAATGTTTTTCACCGATGGCACATACGTGTGAAAAAAATAATAATAATAATCCTAGTTTTATAACTTTGGCTGGGCTCACAAAACGAGGATTGATTAAACCATCAACTCTATTAGGCTTAGCGTTAAAAATAAAAGATCTAATGGGCACCAGAAGCCTTTTTCTTTTAAAACTTCTTCGTGCTGGCAAGAATAACAGCTAAGTCCCGGAGGAACAATGTTATTTGTCTTTTCCTTTTCTTCTGTTCCTCTGGCCAACTCAAAATGAGATTATGAAGACATATTTTACGACTGGAAAGAAAAAAGCTGCGTTCATTAACTCCAAGGGGAAAAAGATACCGTTGTAAACTTTTATTAGAATCAAAAGAGATGAAGCTATTTTTATTTCCCCCTGTCTGGCCTTCTAGGTTTGTTTTTTTCAAAAAAATATATATTAATATTATCCCAGTGCTTTAGTCTGGTTGTTTCCCAAATCTGAATCTGGCTAACATCTCTAAGCATGCACCCCGTAAATCCTTTCTCAGATCGGGGTGTGTGTTGGGAAGCAACGTCTCCAAACAGTTCCCAGCCACTGCAGTTATCAGCACAAACTCCAAGAGCTTCAGTAAAAACAATTTAAAAGCAAATAAAGAAATTTCTTTGAAAAGGTAAAAAATCTGGAGATGCAAAAAAAAACATTGATTTTGGTGCCAGTTTTCAATTACTCAGCCGCGGTGGCGCAGTGGTGAGAGTGCAGTACTGCAGGCTACTTCTGCTGATCGCCAGCTGCCTGCAATTTGGCAGTTGGAATCTCACTGGCCTTCTGAGGTGGGTAAAATGAGGACCCAGATTGTTGGGGGCAAGAGGCTGACTCTGTAAACCGCTTAGAGAGGGCTGTAAAAGCACTGTGAAGCAGTAGATAAGTGCTATTGGTAAGTGGGGAAGGAAGGAAGGAAGGAAGGAAGGAAGGAAGGAAGGAAGGAAGGAAGGAAGGAAGGAA